CCTATTGATCTAATTTTAAGTATGTGGTATGAACATATATAGGTCCTTCAGAATGAATTTTTTCAGTACATTTCGTACCTTAACGAATCTAAAATAAGTTATTACACGTGGTAGAAGTACAAAAATAGGTGGCGCCCCTGTAGTGAATTTCAAGATATGCCCTTATTTTCATCCTAATCCACACAAGAAAATTCATACTGATTGTAAATAATGTTTTTGATAAGATTTCATTAGTATTTCAATGTCATTTTACTATTAAAATGTGTTAAAAAATTATTTTATACCCCTACCCCCTGTTTTAAAATGAATAGATGGCGCCTCTTTAACTGCCCATAGCGAATTCGTTTACCACACATTTTTACTCCACCCAAGATGAATTTATTCTACAGAGTGTCTGGAACAAAATGATACCCACAAACCTTTTTTCCGAGCCGAGTAACGAAATCAGACCTAGGGACAGCACTAATAGCGCTTAAAGTCCCCGATAAATCGGGCTACGTATACCGCCGTGTTTACATTAGGGGATTAGAAGAGTTTACTTTTTATTTAGGTATGCAAGCTACGTATATCAATATTAGGCCTTCATTCATGTACTCGTGTGCATGTAATCAGCATGCCCTTCAATATTATGTAAACCAGGCTATTCAAGTACTGTATAATGTACACTGTTTATGTGTGTACTACATACACACAATACAATACCCTGGGAAACAAAACACAAACACTTTTTATATGTTCAAAATGAGCCATTTGGTTGATGCAAACACTAAATAGCTTCATAAATAACATCTACAAAGTATACCTAATAGTAATTTTCAATTTCAATGGTGAAACTTCCCTGGTTACGATTATATAGGAAATCATCACGAGACGAAGATCGTTCGCCTTCCTGGCTTACCTCTGAATCAGAGGGGGAGAAACACCAGGGTTCAAAGATGACATACGCTTATAATGTAAATCTGTATTGAGATGACATCGCCGCTGATTGGTCAAAAGTCGACAAACAAATGACGTCATCAATGGCGGCTTCAAAATTTTCGAAATACGCTTCGAATAATATTATGTTCATTGCTGGCGTGTTAACCAATATCATAGCTTCTCATTTCACATCAAGATAAAGAAAGGTGTACGGAATATGCCTAGCCTATATCAATTAAAACATCCCATCGAAGTGTAGTATTTGATAACTAGCCGATGAAAATTCGAACGAACGAAGGTGGTAAGCAAGAGAGGTAATTATGTCTGTCACCTTAAAACTCTGGGACTTTCCCTCCTCTTTCTGAATCGTGTACCTGGTAATCTCTTTATATAGTTTAGCGAGAGCGGTGCGCCTGCGCAGTTTTAAACTTTGGCGCACACTTTAAAACATCCATTATACAAGTTAGATTCATAATATGTGACTATAATGAAAGGATATCTCCACTACTGAAGCACTAAGTTCACACAACTTATGCCTCAGTCATTTGATTTACGGCAATTGAATGGTGGCAGTGGGTTCCCAAAATGGATTGAAATATGCAGCATAAAACATAGGGATAAGCAGTGCGATGTAGAATTTCTATATCAATTTTGAGAAGCTGTTTTAGAGCAAATGTGACTGAGGCTTTAAACTACTGAAGGTACACCTATAAAGAGGTCACTGGAATTCAATATATGCAGGGTTTGTCTAATCACTCATTCATGACATATCATGCAGGAATGGCTTAAGTTAAAGTATGTACAGTAAAATAAGGTCAAATAGCTTCATTGTGTTTCTTATTAGAGGAAAACAAGTTCAGAATTAAGCAATCTAGAGATGTTAGAAGATTAATACAGTAGGGGCTTATACCAACGTTTTCAGAAAGGTCTCAGTTAGGCTGAAACCTCTACTCCTGTATAAGAACCCTATATACCCAGTAACATAATTTTACTGCTTGAGACTCAATTGACCAATGTTCTTCTGAAATAATGAGGAGATAATGAATTGTAGTGTTAGCAAATAGAGGGGTTAACCAAAAACATTGGAATTGCATTTAGAAAAGGGGAGGGGTCAAGTCATTTTTTAATTGCCTTAATAAAGATAGATCATCACTTCGATCTGACCAAAAGGAAGACATTGTTTTTACTACATATACAATAGGGTAGCCTTGCCCATGTCGGTCTCTTTTACTATCTTGATTTCTATTATGACCGCCTTGTACCAAAGAGAAAGCCACGTGCTTTACCGACTCAATGTTTATGTCGGTAAAATTTGACCAATCAACGACGGCCCTACAGCGTTAGCTCATTATTATGCACGGTCAAAAACAAGTACACTTTTTACTTTTCGCGGGGACTTTTCACGAACAAACTTGCATGAATTCATCATGAAAATACAAATATTTTATCAGATAAATATCAATCAGAGTTTAGTGGATGCCGGAGCATCGATCGGTAACCGGAGGTGAGAAGATTTCAACAATAATCGTTGAAACGATCGCTGAATTCAAATGAACATGTAGGCTGAGATTCAATCACTGATCGACTCGATGACCCGCTACATTGGACTCGGTCTTGCATTTTCATCGCGAAATCAGTTTTAAATCTATTGCATGATTTAATTTATATATCTAATTTATATTAATGACTCTTACATTCCCTATGTACATTTAATTACATAATATATTGTAACTCTAAAGAAACGATCTATCAGATCATCGGCATTGAATTTCAAATCGGGAAGATTGCTTTACTTATGCAGGTCAACCTGATAACGTTTTTGATTGGTCAATCAGCCTGAAGTCACACGTCGTGTCCAGACTGTCCACGCGTATATCTGAACCCATTAGGTCTCGCGATACCCCTGATAGCGTAGGTATTATGGAAATCTCGAAACCGTTGAATAACTCTGCATAATATCAGCGCAGGTGTATTGGATTGTACAACACCCTATGCAGACAGAGTCTGTGGGAAATATTGGGTGCGGAGAAAATGAGCGGAGGGTGCGGAGCTAACGGTTATTTTTGAATTTAAATTTGGGATATTTCTGAAACTAAGCCGTTTTGGGACTTCAAATATACCAAGATATGTGTATTTGACACCAAATATCAATACAATTGTGAAAATAGTAGCGCAATTCATTCTATAGCGACGCAGTGTGCCTTAAACCTTTCCCAGACCTATATATTTTGAAATTATCCTTTTAATACTGAGTCCCCAGCATTCATAAAAAATGGTGTTCAAGGTGCACTATCTATACAAATTATTTTTGCATCTTGGAAGCCAGGCAGTATCTGTGTGATTTTATAAAAATTCTGAAATGTTTTTCAGATATGAGCCCCCTCTAAATATTGGGTGCGGAGCAGCTCCATAAACGTAGCTCCGCACCCAATATTTAGAGGGGGCTCATATCTGAAGAACATTTCCGAATTTTTATAAAATCACACAGATACTGCCTGGCTTTCAAGATGCAAAAATAATTTGCATGGGTAGTGTATCTTGAACACCATTTTTTATGAATGCTGGGGACGCAGTATTAAAAGGATAGTCTCAAAATATATAGGTCTGTGAAATGTTTAAAGCATACTGCGTCGCTATAAAATGAATTGCACTACTATTTTCACAATTTTATTGATATTTGGTGTCAAATACACATATCTTGGTATATTTGAAGTCCCAAAACGGCTTAGTTTCAGAAATATCCCAATTTTAAATTCAAAAATGACCGTTAGCTCCGCACCCTCCGCTCATTTGCGCCGCACCCAATATTTCCCACAGGCTCTGTCTGCATAGGGTGTACAAGGCGGTAATAATTCAAGATCAGATAAGTAAAAAAAATACCGACTTGGGCAAGGCTAACAATAGGGCTGTTCTGTTTTTTGACACCCTGTACAATAAGGCTGTTCTGTTTTTTGACAGTCATCCAAGTTTGGAATCACTTGGATGTCAAATTGGTCTGTCAGTGTCAGTCAAGCAGTATGGGTACTAACTTAGGTGTTCAGTACATCCTGTTTACATCTAGAGGTGTTCCATTTTATAGGTTTCACTGTATATTGTATATACAATGTATTTACATAACAATGTAAGGGATGTTCCTATTCTTATAGGGGTAGGGTGATATTTGGTGAGGTAGGTAGATTTTTCAATCAGCCTACCCAATTAACGGGGAGGCACTTTTTAATCAGGTAGGTCAATTTTCCTAGTTGTCTGTCTGACCGATTTTTTTTAACGATAGGTGAATCCTGATTTGAGTATGTAAGGTTTGACTACATTCCTTAATATATGTATCCCAGGTTTGCTAAGTTCTATCCTTAATACATGTATGGTTTGCTAAGTTCTAGTAAGTTGGTATAAAAGAACTGTTAGAATAGAGGGGGCCTCCATCTTAATAATATACACTTTGTATTCATTCGACTTTGCTTCTCAAAAGAGAGCTTCGTCTTCACTCTTTCAGTTTTCAATAAATCTCTGAACTCACCGAGCAAATCAGATTTCGTCTTTGGAATAAGGATGACTTTCTATGTATGGTCATTTTCTCTGACATAATCACATAATTATTGTGCACGCATTTAGTATGTGTTCCTTCAAGCTCGGTGATTGGCTGAGAAAGTGGTCAGCATGGTAGGTTTGAAATGATTTATGATCCGAGCTGCCATGGGCATAGGTCAAGGGGTTGGGGCTGCTAAACTGTAATATAGTCTATATTTATAACTAGACTTTGCAAGTAGGGTATCTTCATGATGATGGAAATTGAAGAAGTTGCAGAATGGGTCAAGAAGAATAGGTTTATTAATAATATGACTGGACCATTGGTAAAGAGTGGATTTCCATCTCTAGAGTAGTGAACAAATTTATCAAAATTAATACAAATACTTTTGTCTCTGAATTGAAATAAGTTTTCTATTTTTTATTAGTCTTTTTTATTGGTGTAAATATTTTTGTGTGTGATTATTGTTTTTTAGTTAATAGAACAATAGAGATATCACTCCGAAACATTCAGGACACCCTTTTCTGGCGTTGGGCATGAGTCTCGGAAACCAGTTTCACATTAGAGTGCAACAGGATTTAAATTTACATTCCTCAGTCGATTTTAATTTATTCTTGCACTCATCAAACAATTTTAATGCTCTTGTGTAATCAGGGTGTGAATCTCCTCCATACTGATGAGCAATGTTCAGAGATTCAAAGTAATAAGTCAGTGCTTCTGTATGCTCCTTCAAGTTCTCATGTGTGATACCTATGTTTAGCAATGATTTAGCTACACTTGGGTGAGGATTGTCTTTGTAGATTAGTCTTTTCATTATCAGACTTTCTTGATGATATTCCAGTGCTTTAGTCAGTTCTCCCATTTTATTATACACATGACCTATGTTGTTATGTGTTGTAGCAACATCTGGGTGGGGGCTGTCTTTGTGTATTAGTCGTAACATTGCCAGTCTCTCTTGATGATATTCAAGTGCTTTTGTCAGATCTCCCGTGAATATATATACAAGACCTATGTTGTTAAGTGATGAAGTAACATCTGGGTGGGGACTGTCTTTGTGTATTAGTCGTAACATTGTCAGTCTCTCTTGATAATATTCAAGTGTTTTGGTGAGATCTCCCATCTTTTTATACACATGGCCTATGTTGTTAAGTGATTCAGCAACATCTGGATGGGGACTGTGTTTGTGTATTAGTCTTCTCAATGTAAGACTATCTTGATGATATTCCAGAGCTTTAGTCAGTTCTCCCATGTTATTATACACATGACCTATGTTGTGAAGTGTTGTAGCAACATCTGGGTGGGGACTGTCTTTGTGTATTAGTCTTAACATTGTCAAACTATCTTGATGATATTCCAGTGCTTTAGTCAGTTCTACCATCTTTTTATACACATGGCCTATGTTGTTAAGTGATGCAGCAACATCTGGATGGGGACTGTGTTTGTGTATTAGTCTTCTCAATGTAAGACTATCTTGATGATATTCCAGTGCTTTAGTCAGTTCTCCCATGTTATTATACACATGACCTATGTTGTGAAGTGTTGTAGCAACATCTGGGTGGGGACTGTGTTTGTGTATAAGTCTTCTCATTGTCAAACTATCTTGATGATGTTCAAGTGCTTTAGTCAGATCTCCCATCTTATTACACACAAGACCTATGTTGTTAAGTGTTGTAGCAACATCTGGGTGGGGACTGTCTTTGTGTATTAGTCGTAACATTGTCAGACTTTCTTGATGACATTCAAGTGCTTTAGTCAGATCTCCCATGTTATTATACACACTACCTATGTTGTTAAGTGCGCCAGCAACATCTGGGTGGGGACTGTCTTTGTGTATTAGTCTTATCATTGTCAGTCTCTCTTGATAATATTCAAGTGTTTTGGTCAGTTCTCCCATGTCTTTATACACACGACCTATGTTGTTAAGTGATGCAGCAACATTTGGGTGGGGACTGTCTTTGTGTATTACTCTTAACATTGTCAGACTTTCTTGATGACATTCAAGTGCTTTAGTCAGATCTCCCATGTTATTATACACACTACCTATGTTGTTAAGTGCGCCAGCAACATCTGGGTGGGGACTGTCTTTGTGTATTAGTCTTATCATTGTCAGACTTTCTTGATGATATTCATGTGCTTTAGTCAGTTCTCCCATGTCTTTATACACACGACCTATGTTGTTAAGTGATGCAGCAACATTTGGGTGGGGACTGTCTTTGTGTATTACTCTTAACATTGTCAGACTTTCTTGATGACATTCAAGTGCTTTAGTCAGATCTCCCATGTTATTATACACACTACCTATGTTGTTAAGTGCGCCAGCAACATCTGGGTGGGGACTGTCTTTGTGTATTAGTCTTATCATTGTCAGACTTTCTTGATGATATTCATGTGCTTTAGTCAGTTCTCCCATGATTTTATACACACGACCTATGTTGTTAAGTGATGCAGCAACATCTGGGTGGGGACTGTCTTTGTGTATTAGTCGTAACATTGTCAGACTCTCTTGATGATATTCATGTGCTTTAGTCAGTTCTCCCATGTCTTTATACACACGACCTATGTTGTTAAGTGATGCAGCAACATTTGAATGGGGACTGTCTTTGTGTATTACTCTTAACATTGTCAGACTTTCTTGATGACATTCAAGTGCTTTAGTCAGATCTCCCATGTTATTATACACACTACCTATGTTGTTAAGTGCGCCAGCAACATCTGGGTGGGGACTGTCTTTGTGTATTAGTCTTATCATTGTCAGACTTTCTTGATTATACTCAAGCGCTTTAGTCAGATCTCCAATGACATTATACATATTACCTATGTTGTTAAGTGATGAAGCAACATCTGGGTGGGGACTGTCTTTGTGTATTAGTCTTTTCATTTTCAGACTTTCTTGATGACATTCAAGTGCTTTAGTCAGATCTCCCAAGTCTTTATACACACAAGCTATGTTGTTAAGTGATGAAGCAACATCTGGGTGGGGACTCTCTTTGTGTATTAGTCTTTTCATTGTCATACTTTCTTGATGACATTCAAGTGCTTTAGTCAGATCTCCCATCTTATTATACACATTACCTATGTTGTTAAGTGATGAAGCAACATCTGGGTGGGGACTGTCTTTGTGTATTAGTCTTTTCATTGTCAGACTTTCTTGATGATATGCAAGTGCTTTAGTCAGATCTCCCATGTCAATATACACATTACCTATGTTATTAAATAATGAGGCAACATCTGGGTGGAGACTGTCTTTGTGTATTAGTCTCAACATTGTCAGACTTTCTTGATGATATTCAAGTGCTTTAGTCAGTTCTCCCATGTTATTATACACACTACCTATGTTGTTAAGTGCGCAAGCAACATCTGGGTGGAGACTGTCTTTGTGTATTAGTCTAAACATTGTCAGGCTTTCTTGATAATATTCAAGTGCTTTAGTCAGATCTCCCATCTTATTATACACACTACCTATGTTGTTAAGTGATGAAGCAACACCTGGGTGGGGGCTGTCTTTGTGTATTAGTCTTTCCATTGTTAGACTTTCTTGATGATATTCAAGTGCTTTAGTCAGATTTCCCATGCCATTATACGTAAGACCAATGTTGTTAAGTGATGAAGCAACATCTGGGTGAGGACTGTCTTTGTGTATTAGTCTTTTCATTGTTAGACTTTCTTGATGATATTCAAGTGCTTTAGTCAGATCTTCCATTTTATTATACACACAACCTAAATTGCTAAGTGATTTAGATACCCCACTTTCATTATTGATTTTTCTGCTTATTTTCAGACTTTCATTATAATATAAGAGTGCATCTGAGTAATTCCCTTGTGACATATACAGTGAACCTATTGCTGTCTTTATAAAAGCTATTTCCCACTCTTGCTCTCCTGCATCTAGGGTTTGAAGTGTTTTTAACTCTGTTTGATAAGCATGCATTGCCCTCTTGAAGAAAAAAGTGTTCTCGTATAATTGCGCTTTCACTTCATTGTTTCCAAGATATCTCTTGCTATATGCCCAGGCACCACTTACATTCAAGTTTGATTTGAGGAATTCACACCAGGGCATGAATGTGTTAAAAAATCGTAAAATGGCTGTAAAACTTCTGACGGGCATCACTTCTGTTGTTTCATCATCTTGAGAGTCACTTGGTAAGAATGATATGAATTCCTTCTGTTGCTTATACCTTCCATAGACCATGTGTCTAAGATTTATTACACTACAAACCATGATTTGTAGATCTTTTGCTGCTCCTTCGGTTAGAATACCTTTCCCTCTCAATTCCTCTAACACATCAAGAGGAGCAAATGATGTACAACCATGCTTGAGTTTCAGAATATTTATAGTGATTGTAGCAAATCTGTATATGTCATGCTTTGTATGGATTTTCTGAGTGAATGATTCTGATGACAAAGGATTTTTACTGTATTTTTCTAAATCTTTCTTTAGTGTTCTAACTGCCCTTTCTCTACCTATAGTAATGTCTGGATTAGTTGTAGATGGTGATAATAATATGGAATGTACTTTGTCATTGTATTCTTTCCATAAGGCAAATTCCCCTGTTATGAGAGTTGATGTCATGAGAACGTCACTAAGGTGGTAACCCTCTTTGATTGATTCATCTGTGAACTGAAACTTGCTCATCTCATCAACAGTCATGATGAGTTCAAGTCTGGGAGGTTTATTTGAATCTTTTCTTGATTTCCTACCAATTGCTGTCTTGCTAGCAGAAGGGTGTGTCCCATCAAATGAAACTCCTCTTGTTGTAATGTTGTCCCAATAGTCATTGTCTTTCATGTCAGGTGGAAGATAATTATTGAGGTCTGATATAACAGGTATGTCTAAGTTGTTTAAAATGGTTTCCCCGAGATTGATAACCTTCAAATGGATATAATATGCTATCATACGCAATTGCATTTTGATTTGATCAACTGGTTTATCTAAGGGATCAAACAGTATTGCCCACTCAATATCTGAATAAGCAGTGACCTCTTTTCGGGATAGGGAGCCCAGTGCTAAGAATGCAAACTTACAAAGGGGATGTCCTAAAACAGAAATACAATCATTGATAATAGACTTATAAAAATCTAAAAGCTGTCGTGTAAGTCCATTATAAAACACCTTGCTGTATTTTATTGTGTTGTCTTCATCTTCGTCTTTCATCTCTGTGGTGACATCATCAACAACCATGTACTTTTCAATGATGTCATTTACGGTGGTGTTTGAGTACTCTCGTATATTTTCAAGTGTGTCTGTATACTTCTGTGTTGCAGCCTCTGTAGATAGTTCGCTATGATTTGCAGCTCGGCACTTCTTCACAAAGTTACTTTCTATAAGCTGGAGTTGTTTGTCAGTGTGGTCCAAGTCATCTTTAAGAGCTGTGTTTATGCCATCAGTTTGTTTTCTAATCAATTTCTTAATTCGACATTTGGCTGCATTATATAATGCACAGGACCAAACGTAGTGTTCATACCAGATATCAGATGTCTCTGCTGATTTGATATACTCTTGTCCAAGTTGGCACATCAGGTCTGCCTGTTCTTTCAATTCAGTTTGTTGGTCACATGCTTTTATTTTGCAACCAAGTTCATACATTTCTTTTGTTACCTCTGAAAGATTAATGTTCACTTTCTTATCAAATTATACTTCATATATTCATGCTTGAAAATAAGCAATTTTATAGATATTTAAAGATGCTTATTTATAGGGTTCATAGAAAAATTTTATTCAGTGTTCTCTCCAGGATTTTATCTCAAGAGGGTACAATATTCTTGATTTTACGATTTAGTTTGGTCAGGATATGAATTAATATTTCATGATTTTTTCATTTTTTTCATTTTTCAAGTTGGTCACAAATTCAGCATGCATCCAAAATTTCCATCATAGGTTGAAATATTGCAGTGCTAAAATGGATTTTCAAGTGGGTGCATGCCTACTTTTAAAATCTCAAATGGGTGCAGCACCCACTTGCTGGGGAGACCAGTGGTACTATGCTATTTTCAAAATATTACCCTTTGTGCTTCCTCATTGATTTGGTAAAATATGTGAGTTAATATTTAATCTTAAGAATTTCAGTAATGCATTATTAGAAGGGGTCCTGATAAAAATGTCCACTTGAAATGAGACTTAAGATTGTCTCCCCTTGAACATGTTGAAATGATGTATTGCAGTGTAAACTATCAGCAAGACAGGGTGATCCTGCAATTTTGAATCATTTGGCACGAAAGCATGCCTAGATCAAACATATTAGCTTTCTTTTATAGCAAAGAGATCAATGCAAATATACATGTGTGTGCATTATAATTTCAAACATTGAACTTTATCTACACAAGAAAGTTTAAGAAAATTCAATTATTATTTAGATTTTATTCCAAAGCTTCACCCAAAATAATTATTTATTCCAAAAATGTTGAATTTGTTGCTTTTTCATTATAATGATTTTCAGGATCAGTAACAAAGAATATATTTCCTGCTTGACATTTCAGTATTTCACAATTTTGAATCTGTACAGGATGATCCAAGATAATAAGAACGTTTTTCATAATTATATAACTCGTGATATCACATATTAACTTAAGAGAATGAAAGAACAGTCCATTGTTAGCATTTTGTATTATATTTAAGTCGCCAAATCAAGGAGCTCCTTATGGCTCTACCCGTCTGAATAATCAGACATTGATTTATGGCTTTATGGATATTTTGAGACATTTTGCCCAATAATGACAATATGCAGAACTCAGACATGCAAACTTTCTTACGAGAGTGTCTCCCTGATTAGAGGTGACCCAATTTGCTTTGTTTACATGAGGGCTTGTTGAGCATAAGTTGGAGTGAATGATAAATCAGTAGAAATATACGACAGTGAATAGGAAGAACATTTTCACAGGACACCCAGTATCAGAAGAAGTGAGTAGCTCCCATAATTCTTTCATATTCTATTGTATTTGGGGATTCCCCAGTATATGATGTCCAATCAAATTACAGGATGTGATCACGTGAACAATCATGAGCATGTGCTCTCTCAGTGCCGCACATGCGCAAAGTAAAATTTGAAACTGTGGAAATGACATTTATTTCAGTTAAACATCATTTCATCATCATCATTTTAAAACTATGGTAATACTATTGAAGTTACTCGATCCAAACTTGTAGAGAATACTCATAAAACAACAGCAGACATTGTGAGATCCATTTCAATGGTAAATGAGGCCTGTTTATAACATTGGTGGAGACCTTCAAATATTTGAAAGGCCATCTCTTTTGAAAATGCTTTTATCTAAAAGGTTTGAGATTTTGATAATGAAATTTGTTTGTAACTGCAAAAGTCCTTTTTATTAGAAATTTAGAAAAATGACAAAAATTGTACATATGGATTTTTCTATAGTTACCTGATTTATCATTGGTTGGTGGACCCGGGTTCCGCTCTACTCCTGCTCTCACCAGCAACAGTTTTATGAGCTTAAGTCTCAATGCTAGTTGTCTTAGAGATTTGACGAGTGATGAATGGAATGTCTGATTGTTCTTGCCTCCACAGAAAGTCCCTATGGCCATTCTCCATTGTTCTGTTGAATTTCCCATATTCTGTTTTGTTTTATGGAATTCAACTTCTGCTACTCAAATCTTGTTCAAATAGCATTGGCTAAATGATATTTTATTTCTTAGTCAAACAGAGATTCCACTTTGACACGTCATATGTCATTTTTCAAGCATATCGTTAATGTTTGTGAAGTAATTGTTCTTCGAATATATAATTCATTTCTTTGATCAAGCCAATACCTGGTGCTTATTAGATTCAAATAATCTAAACTGATTGAAAAACAAATGTTATATATTTTTAAAATGATTTTAGACCTTATATATTATTACCGTTGGCTAAAGATAACATGCATTGTAATCAAATTGGTACTCAAAGGCATAACATGGCTAAATAACATGTAGATGATCATTTATCAGTATGTATCAAGGTGGGAACAACTTCATACTTATGATAAAAAGATCACATGACTGTTATTGTTTATCTATAATTTTAATGTGACCTTCTCATAGATAATTGTGGATAATCAGTGTTTAAAACAGCTCTACCCCACTGACGTTTGTAGGGATATAGAGCTCTCTGTCTGTTCCTCCGTCCTTTCGTTTGTTTTGTCTGGCAGATAACTCAAATACCGGTTGATGGATTTGATTCAAATTTAATACACTTGTGCCTCATTGGAGTAGTACCTCTGCTCGAGAAGGAATTTTCAATATGGCGACCAAAATCAAAAAGTAATGATCAATTACTCAAATATCAATTGGCAGATTTGATTCAAATCTTATATGTTGATGCCTAGAGCTTAAGAAGAAATTTTCAAGATGGTAGCTAGCTTTTAAAATGGCCACCTTTTTCTTAAAAATGTATTTTTTGATAACTTAAATACTATTAATGGACCAAATCATTACAGAATTCAGTCCAAATTTTATAGGCTAATGTTACTGGGTAGAGGGGGCATTTTTAAAATGGCCACTAATTTCAAAATGGCAGAATTGGTTCAAATTATATGTGCTGATACTTTAGGGACACGGGACTCTGCTTATAGAAGGAAATTTAAAATGGGTGCCACTTTCACGAAAAAGTGCAATTTAGTACTATAATAACTTAAATACCAGGTGTAGGATTTGACACAAATTTTATTTCTGTCATGTAATGTCCAAAATTACAAAGTATTAAATAAGATATATCTGCTTGTTGGGATTGGCTACTCTGGAGTTGTTTTCGAGTTTGTTTCTTGCAAAACTGATTAATTCATTTTTCTTGTAGATGGCTCAGAATTTGATCAAGTTAATACAATGGAGAAGTATGCAATGGAACGAGTGTCACTCAGGTCTATTGTGGAAGAGCCATATGCACCTGTAGTAAGTAATACACTTTCAATTAATACAATGGAGAAGTATGCAATGACTGAGTGTCACTCAGGTCTATTGTGGAGGAACAATATGCACCTGTAGTAAGTAATACACTTTCAATTAATACAATGGAGAAGTATGCAATGACTGAGTGTCACTCAGGTCTATTGTGGAGGAACAATATGCACCTGTAGTAAGTAATACACTTTCAAGTAATACAATGGAGAAGTATGCAATGACTGAGTGTCACTCAGGTCTATTGTGGAGGAACAATATGCACCTGTAGTAAGTAATACACTTTCAGTTAATACAATGGAGAAGTATGCAATGGAACGAGTGTCACTCAGAAGGAACCATATGCACCTGTAGTAAGTAATACACTTTCAGTTAATACAATGGAGAAGTATGCAATGGAACGAGTGTCACTCGGAAGGAACCATATGCACCTGTAGTAAGTAATACACTTTCAAGTAATACAATGGAGAAGTATGCAATGACTGAGTGTCACTCAGGTCTATTGTGGAGGAACAATATGCACCTGTAGTAAGTAATACACTTTCAGTTAATACAATGGAGAAGTATGCAATGGAACGAGTGTCACTCGGAAGGAACCATATGCACCTGTAGTAAGTAATATACTTTCAGTTAATACAATGGAGAAGTATGCAATGGAACGAGTGTCACTCGGAAGGAACCATATGCACCTGTAGTAAGTAATACACTTTCAATTAATACAATGGAGAAGTATGCAATGGAATGAGTGTCACTCAGGTCTATTGTGGAGGAACCATATGCACCTGTAGTAAGTAATACACTTTCAAGTAATACAATGGAGAAGTATGCAATGGAACGAGTGTCACTCAGGTCTATTGTGGAGGAACAATATGCACCTGTAGTAAGTAATACACTTTCAGTTAATACAATGGAGAAGTATGCAATGGAATGAGTGTCACTCGGGTCTATTGTCAAGGAACCATATGCACCTGTAGTAAGTAATACACTTTCAATTAATACAATGGAGAAGTATGCAATGGAATGAGTGTCACTCTGGTCTATTGTGGAGGAACCATATGCACCTGTAGTAAGTAATCCACTTTCAAGTAATACAATGGAGAAGTATGCAATGTAACGACTGTCACTCAGGTCTATCGTGGAGGAACCATATGCACCTGTAGTAAGTGATACACTTTCTATTAATACAATGGAGAAGTATGCAATGGAAGGAGAGTCACTCATGTCTATTGTGGAAGAGCCATATGCACCTATAGTAAGTAATATATTTTTGATTAATACAATGGAGAAGTATGCAATGGAACGAGTGTCACTCAGGTCTATTGTGGAGGAACCATAGGCACCTGTAGTAAGTAATACACTTTCAATTAATACAATGGAGAAGTATGCAATGGAACGAGTGTCACTCAGGTCTATTGTGGAGGAACCATATGCAACTGTAGTAAGTAATACACTTTCAATTAATACAATGGAGAAGTATGCAATGGAACGAGTGTCACTCAGGTCTATTGTGGAGGAACCGTATGCACCTGTAGTAAGTAATACACTTTCAATTAATACAATGGAGAGGTATGCAATGGAACGAGTTTCTCTCAGGTTTATTGTGGATGAACCATATGCACCTGTAGTAAGTAATACATTTTCAATTAATACAATGGAGAAGTATGCAATGACTGAGTGTCACTCAGGTCTATTGTGGAAGAGCCATATGCACCTGTAGTAACTTTAGTAAGTTATACACTTTCAATTAATACAATGGAGAAGTATGCAATGGAAAGAGTGTCACTCAGGTCTATTGTGGAGGAACCATATGCACCTGTAGTAAGTAATACACTTTCAATTAATACAATGGAGAAGTATGCGATGGAGCGAGTGTCACTCAGGTCTATTGTGGAGGAACCATATGCACCTGTAGTAAGTAATACACTTTCAATTAATACAATGGAGAAGTATGCAATGGAACGAGTGTCACTCAGGTCTTTTGTCAAGGAACCACGTGCATATGTTGTAAGTAATCCCGTAAGTAATACAAGCAATTTAAGGGGCTCAACCTGTAGATATGCCTGCTATCTAAAAGAATTATTATCAGTAGACAAAGATTAAACCTTCTTTTCTGTTGAAAAAAAATAATTTTTTATTAAAAAGGATAAGATAGTACATGAAATGAGAACATCTATGATTTCAATTATTTTCTCATACTTATAATCATTTCATGGAACCTCCAAGCATTTTTTCTGAATGAATGATTAATTATTTAAATGTTAATCATCAATTTGAATCATGATTTTCCAATATTTATATATTTCATGGGACTTTATAATTTGATCTTATTGTAATGATTTATTCTTTCAGGATAGACTTCTGAGTGCACTTTGCAAGCATATAGACTGCTCAGCTCAGACAATTAATTCTTTCGCAGTTGATCTCCAAGAAACAGCTATTAACAAGAATTCTGTACAAAAGGTAAACTCAAGATTCAACAGTAAAATCAAGATTTAGCATAAACTTGAATATTAGGGTCCATGTTTTCTTGATGCTTAAGCTGAAATTTTATAGATTTATTATTATCACGACTTATTTTTGGGGTGATTAGTTTAGGTGATAAGTTCTGAGAGGAATCATTTTTCCACATGCAGTAAGTCAGTCATATTCAAACACCACTGTGATCAGCCAAAAGTATTGGGATTAGAAAGTAATCACATTTCAAGGTTTGTTCTTATACTAATCATTAGGAGAGAAAATTGGGACTGACAAAAAGTGTTCGCTGTTCATATTTAGAAGTATTTGGATTAGACAAGTCTTCAGGGTTTACTGTGCATACTCTACTATATCATGTGTTTTGACTTAAGTTTGACAACACCTGGGCCCTCAGTAAGATATCTATATTTTCCTCAGGATATACCCCATATCCAAAACCTCCCATAACATAACCCTCATATACAGGGTGGGCCAAAAAAAACCAATACCCAACTTCAAATCAGGATAAAAATAGTTACATTCAATATGGTACATTGACTTACATACCATTTTAAAGGTTATACAATTTCAAACAATTTGGTATATAACACTATGTCATGAAATCAATAGTAAAGTTTTATTATACTTATTAAGGAGGCCGAGTCGCTATTTAGGGTCTCCGGATTTAAGGGAGAAAATAGTAAATCTGCGGAATTATGTTAATTTTTTATTTATACAATATCATTCTTTTGTTAGGTGAATACATGCTTGGATACTGATATTTGCATCATTGTGTGGCTAAATTTATTGTTTATGAATTTCAGTGTTGTTTAATAACATTTTACACTTTATTTATTTAAACAATTTTCACAATTGCTCAATATACCCACACCCCCTCCCCTATGCATCAACAATAATCTTCAAGTGGTAGCGCAATCTATCAATAGCCTTATTGAGAGATTTCTGTTCATGTTGCAATTCATTTCAGCACTTTAGGATTCTGTTTTAGCACATCAAAGCTGTTTATTGGATGCTTTTGATTGTATCATTTCCTCGAGATGGCTCCATGTATCGTAATCAAACAAATTACATGTAGCATCGGGGCTGTTGGGTGGCCAAGCATCGGGATCAATCAAATTGACACCTTGTTTGCAAAGGAATGCCAATGTCTCTTGAGATCTATGGTACGAGGCAATGTCTTGTTGGAAAATAAGATCCTTGTCACATATACGTTTAATGTCTTTTAACAGACCCCCTTTGAGTATTTCTTGATAATAAACAACACTATAAAATTCATAAACAATAAGTTTAGTCACACAATATGCAAATATACAAGCATTTATTCACCTAACAAAATGATATTCTATAAATAAAAAATTAATATTATTCCGCAGATTTACTATTTTCTCCCTAAAATCTGGATACCTTAAATACTGACCCGGCCTCCCAAATAAGCATAATAAAACTTTAAAATTGATTTCATGACATAGTGTTATATACCAAATTGTTCGAAAATGGATAACCTTTAAAATGATATATAAATCAGTGTATCATATTGAACATAGCTATTTTCAGTCTGATTTAAAGTTGGGTATTGGTTTTTTTTGGCCCACCCTGTATATCCTGTGTTTTCACTTTCAGTTTGACAAGATCATCACATTTCTTGAGTTAGAACAATGCACACTTAGCAAATACGCCCCGAGTACGCCAGTCAAGGGCTCTATATTCAGCAAGCCGTACAAGGCTGCCATGTCAACAGAGAATGAGATCTGCCTATTCCCATATGACATTGACAATGAACTCTGCAAGAGAATCACTATGGGCCTGTCACACACTAGGAAACTATAGCAATGCATTATCTAGTAACATAGCAACATGGTTACCAAGCAACAGTGTCTAAAGAATAGTATTCGCTGATACACTGGAACAGTAACAGTTCATGTTCAACTTAGTGACCTAGCAACAGAATAGATTGTGGGTGGTGGTCTAGCAACATGGTTGCCTAGCAGCATTATGTGACCTTTCAATATATTGAACTCATAACATTACATGTATGTTTAACAAAGTGACTTAGCAACAATTGCTAGTAGCTTATCAAAATGGTAACCTAGCAACAGTGTCCTTAGAACACTGTGATCAAGTAACAGTGGATAGTTACAGTTTTAGTGCTGTACCAAATTACCTAGCAACTATTCTGATCCCATAGCAACCTTTTTTCTTTCTTTACCTGACAACAGTGGCTAATCAGAATGTGACCTAGCAACAATGCCTAGTAAATACTAAACATTATGATACATCCAAGTGTCATAGCAACATTGCCTGGTAGCAACCTAGTAACCTAGCAACAACGAGTAGTAACATTGTCTCTTTATTCATGTTGCAGGAGCTTTCCATGGCATATTCCAAGAAAGCACTGGAATATCTGCTCTCTCAAAATGACGACATTTGCATCAAATGTAAAACATGGGTCCATTCTGCATATATCTTAAAATTACAGATCTGCGAGTTGATTGTCTTGAAATAATTCTGTGCAATAATTCCGTTGATCTGATTGGTCAGATGATTGATGATTATCGATTTGTAGACCTGTAACTTTACTGTAATCAAAATGTAAATAGTTGTACATATATGAAAAATTAGATGTACAAATTGTAAGCAAAATGTCAATATGATATATGTCGTACATAGTCAAAAGGCACAATGGTAATAAGTAATACTCAAAAAAACCTCAACCATAATCATTTATCTGTTAAATGTATTCCTCTTGAAGTCAGTATTTTTGCCAAATTGCAATTTCAAGATGTTCATTTGATAGATATTACTAGATTGGTATATTCTATTGAATGGGGAGCATTCTTAAGACTTTAATCCCCTAAAACATTGTGAAATGCAATTATTGAAATTCACTTACCTTTCAGAATATTGCCATACATAATGTTAGACATTGAAAATCAAAAAATGTGATCTATGCTTTTTATGAAACAGCCCCCTGTAAATTAGTTAAATGGAAATGGGACCAAAGCATCATTATAATTAGTGAACATATAATTTTATGTTGGTGTTAAGAATTGTTGTATTTATGTGTTACAAGTTTTATTCTATTTTTATTAACTCAGTTTTTAAAACAAATTATTAAATTATATTTTTAATTCAAAATTTATTAAAAAATCCCAGAAAAATAACATACTGTATTCATTTATTTTAGAGAATCCCATGCATATGCCAAATGTGAGCTGAAAAATGTGTACATGTCCCACTTATTTCACATTATGATGTTTAGCTGTAATATTAAATTGTATTCACATGTCATGTATTATATGTCTTATTCATTACAATAGATTATGTATCTGTAATTACCCAAGTGCAATACAGTCCTGTGGAAAACATCAAAAATGAAGCTGATTTGAATTCTATATAAACAATGTCTATATTGTATTTCAAATGTCATTTACATGACATGGTTATTGAGTCAATAAAAGATATATATACGTATTGAAATGAAAGAGAAAACCTAAATTAGAGAGCCCGGTTGAAAAAGCTCTCTAAAAAAGACCTCTCTGAATAACGTCCATTAAAGCCATTTGAACCATTTTTGGGAGTTTTGCATGAGACTGATTACCATATTTTATATAATACTTTTAGAATGATGGAATGATTTAGATAAAAGCCTTTCTTTTCTTATTTGAGGGATTAGTTGGTTTATACCTTGCCATTGAACATAAGAGATTCTATCTCTTGCTTACTAGTCAATGCAGTGCTATTTACATTTGTCATCTACAAATTCTCTATTGAAGAAACATGTATAAGTATTGTTTCATTTATTAGGCTATTAGATGAGTGTTACATTAAAACTTGGCCATTTCTCTATATTACATATATTATTTTCTTTCTGAAACTAGGTGGATGCTTATTCGGGATGGGTGTTAAATATGGCGATTATGGTATCTCTTTATTAACAGTATTCTTTCCTGAAAATTGACAGGTCATTCAGTATAGCTTAAGAGAAACAAGGACGTCTACCTTGAGAGAAAGAAATATCCTAGAATTCATAGATGAACCCATTTACATGTAAAGATGAGCATATTTTCATTGACATAAACTCACCTTTGAATTCTGGGCTGTTCCATCCTTTTGGAAAAGCCACTGGATGAGAATTCCTGGGGATTTTTCAAAATATTGGTGGAGACTTAAACAAACTAAAATAGCCATTAAATAAGTGCAATTTTCAGCAAGTCTTAATTGAGGTTTTACTAATCATCATATCATGAGCTCCTGGGAAAAAGGGCACTCTCACTTATTGTTGTTTGTAATTGAAAAATCCACTCATGTACACATCTGAGGTGACACTGTGTTAAAATCTGATTTTTGGATCCCAAGTGAAAGTTTGTGAGAGTCCTTTATTCTCCATGTTATTGGGTTTATCAGTTTTTGTTAGGTCACCACCAGAAATAAATATAAATAAAAAATGGAATCTGGAGTCTTGAATTGAACTCGTTCAATTTCACCAATCTAGTTCTACATGTAATTGGGTTCATCAGTTTTTGTTTAGTCACCACAAGAAATGGTGACATATTGTTATAGTTTCCAACTTTTCAGTTGGTGGTGTTCGGCAGCTGTTGTTCAGCATTCGGCTGTTGGTATCTGTAACAAATGGCAGGTAGTGATATTTTGCATAATAATGCCTTATTGCTTATAGTACAGTAAAATTTGTTTGTTAACATCTCTATAAGGAACACTTGTTATTAACGATAAGCAATATTGATCAATACAGAAGGCACTCAATGTACACACGATTTACTGTAGGTGCTAATTCCCGAGGAATCGACCTCACCTGTTCACAATGACTTTTAACATTTTTTATATTGAGATTGGTTTTCTTTTGTACAGTTTATTGTATTGTACCGTTTGTTTATATGTAATAACACAGTCTGGCACACAGCTGCAAAAAATCCCGTTATTTATTTTAGCTGTGCAGTAGACTGTGTAAAATATGACATTAACAACTTACAACTCCTGTATATTTGTTTTCATTTATTTATATTATACATATGAATGTTATAAATCTGTTCTAAATAAATTATTTTATATGTCTAAAAGTCATTCTTTTGTCGTTGATGGTTATTTTTGTTCATTATGGACTGTTTTCAGTATATCACATAGCACTCAGTTTGAGGGTGAGCATTTTCACGGGTTGTATCCAAAGCCCCGTTATAATTGAGAGGTCGCGAGCAAGTTCCCGCTGAAATCACGAGCAATGTCCTTTTTATTTAATTCATCTGGAAATATGGACCAAAAAGCTAAAAATACGCATTACTGTTCTTTGATACTTTAGGTATACTTTCAGAACAGGTATATCTTCACAAACAATGACATGAAAGATAACTATTTTTACTGGCATGGAAGAAACGGGCGTCAATATGCACGTTTGCATAATTTACTGTTAACATATTACTTTTATGGTTAAAATAGAGACAAGAACTACGATATACATACCTCATTATGAATATTGGACCAACATTGTATGTATTGATAAGTTCTTTTTCAAAAACATCCACTGTGGGGGGTGAAATACATCATTGAAGGTGTGCCAGTGGCCCCGCTGAAATTATGAGGAAGCCCCGCTGAAAACATGAGGAGGTCCCGCTGAAAACAGGAGCAGATATCACGAGTACCCGCTTCGATCACGAGGAAAGCTCATTACTATAACATAAAATATTGAGGTTCTTCAAATAAACGTACACGAAAGACCAAGTTAAGTACTTCTAATAATTACTGTATATATACTGTTTCATTCTAGGGCCAGGTTTCTAATGTTTCCATTCCAACTTCAAGCCACCAGAGATTTCGTCAAATATTTTATAGAGTTGCATCCATATCAAAATGTATAGGAGAAAGGTGGATATCATTTCAAGAATGAACTTAATTGAAGCCTGAGGTTCAGGGTAATGAGTCTTGTATTAAACAAAGACACCCCAAGTTGCAAGAAGATGAAATTTAGAGAGAAAGGAGAACCACAAAGTCTCCATGATAATTCAGGTTCTACTTTTATAATTTAACAATAACATTTAACAATAACATTCAAGTTTTTGTTTTTAAATATTTATTAAAATAATGATGATTTGTATTCCATACCTGATAATTTTCAGGGACATCAACCGGGAATATATTCCATATCCGGGCAAATATTTTTCGTATGTCCCGCTCAAACGTGGATCCTGGACATATAAATTGTATGTCCTGCATAAGCCATTTTCCTGGACATATTGTTACGCGGTAAACACGATACAAATACATGTCATATTCCACAATGAATATGGCATATTCACTTGTGGAGTATGAAAGATTCACCTGCGGTATATGGCATACTCACCTGCGGTGTAAGGCATATTCTGCAAGTGAGTATGACATATTCTGCGAGCATGGGGTATTTACTGAAATCAATGTATCACATATTCAATACGGAATATGCCATACTCACCTGCAGAATACACCATATACCACAGCTGAATATGGCATATACACCCGTTTCACAAATACCACGCAACCATGAATATATGCCATATTCCGCGTAACACATACGATGTTACGCGGAGTATGGCATACATTTATGGTTGCGTGGTATTTGTGATACGGGCATACAGTATATGCCATACTCACCTGCAGTTTATGGCATATTCCGCAGGTGAGTATGCGATATTCCGCCTTGAATATGCGATACATTGATTTCAGTGAATACCTGATAGTCACCTGCAGAATATGTCATACTCACTTGCCAAATATGTCATATACCGCAGGTGAAAATGACACAATGATTACCCGTTTGTTCAATCAATGCAATTGACAATTGCGTACTTCCGTATCGTGTTCTCATTGCTTAGTGGGTATGCAC